ACCCTGCATGACGGGAAGAGTTGGTTCCAAGCGCCTCTGGGTGAGCTCATTGCAATTGGAGAATCCTCAGCAACCTCAACAGGAAGGAGCAATGAACTGGGCGTGTGGACACCCAGGAATCCATGCCAACTTCGCTGAGCGACCATGAAATACGTCCTCCCTGGGCCCTAAGGTCCCCCTGTGAAAAAGCAAGAGGGCCTCTCAGAATGGCAGGAGATCACTGTACATGGTTCCAGGTGGGGCTCCTATAGACGCACGGACAGAAAAGTCCTCATTGCTCACTTCCTTTCCTGCCCTCCCCATCGCACAAAGGAGCAAATCTCGGCATTGGTGCCAGATTGTCTTTAAGCCTCGGAAACACTTGCCAAACTGCTTTTTTAACAGAGAGGGCAGGCCTCAGGTTCACAGCCTACCGCACCCATAATATCTAGCTAGGACTTAATAACGTGGATGTCCTTGCACTGTATTTACTGTAACCGTTACCCACTATATTTGATGAGGGAATATTATTTTCCCATTGGTAGTAGTATGTAAACCCTTCTTTTAAAAACAAAGGCCGAAACCAGTTTGGCTCAGTGGATAGGGCATTGACCTGCGGACTGAAGGGTCCCGGGTTTGATTCCAGTCAAGGGCATGTACCATGGTTGCTGGCACATCCCCAGTAGGGGGTGTGCAGGAGGTGGCTGATCAATGTTTCTCTCTCATCAATGTTTCTAACTCTCTATCCCTCTCCCTTCCTCTCTGTAAAAAATCAATAAAATATTTACATATAAAAAAACACTTAAGTTTAAAAAGTGAGTTCATTTACAGATAAATGATAAAACCACTATGTGGGACAAGTTAACACTTGTCACCTGGTAAGCACATACAAAACCAGACAAAGCTTCCCAATGCTATTGGACATTCCAGTAGTGATTACTACTGGAGTTGGAACAAGGGGGGCTCTGACTTCTGCTGTCCATTCGGCTGGTTGTCGTGGGAGCGCTTTATAAGGTGTGCTCACTTTATAAAAACCCATCAAGCTGCATACACTTATTTTTTGGAATATATTTTTATTGATTTCAGAGAGGAAGGAGAGAGAGAAACATCAATGATGAGAATCATTGATGGACTCCCTCCTGCATGTTCCACACTGGGGATCGAGCCCACAACCCAGGCATGTGCCCTTGACCGGAATCGAACCTGGGACCCTTCAGTCCACAGGCTGACACTCTAGCCACTGAGCCAAACCAGCTAGGGCTGCATATACTTATGATTGGTGCTTTTTTGTATGTATATTATACACTCACATAACCTTTAACCTAGCAAGAAACTCATCATAGATATCTCCTCTGGACAGTGCAGGTCAGGGGAGAGGGGTAGGAGAGAGATTTGTCACTGATACCTACTCTTTTGTATTTATAAATGTGGTACAATGCCTTTATGGATAATAAGTTTTGAAGCAAAGAGTCTTACAGAAGGTGCATGGTTATGGTGAAAATGATGGCTCCTTCCAGGCCCAAAGGCTGGGATGAAAGTGTTAGCACTTTGGGCTTATAAAGCAAGTAATGGAAATTGACCCTCAGTTATGCACATGTATGTGCAAAGCAAAACATTTGAAGAGGCTCACTGCAGCTCTGTTTACAGTAACTAGAAATTGGAAACAACCTGAGTTCCCCAGTTGGAGGCTGATGGAATAAATTTTGGCATCGCCTACAGTGACTTCTATGTGGCCATCAAACAGAATGAGGCAACCCTTAGCAGAGTTTCAAACTGTACATGGATTCAAACGTAAATGAAGACGTAAGGGGCAGGACTGTGCGCTTGTGGAAAAACAAGAATATAGTAGGTGTCTCGGGCATCCTATGGTGGAATATTAGCTCAGAAGAGAATAGCAAGAAACTCATCATAGATATCTCCTCTGGACAGTGCAGGTCAGGGGAGAGGGGTAGGAGAGAGATTTGTCACTGATACCTACTCTTTTGTATTCATAAATGTGGTACAATGCCTTTATGGATAATAAGTTTTGAAGCAAAGCGTCTTACAGAAGGTGCATGGTTATGGTGAAAATGATGGCTCCTTCCAGGCCCAAAGGCTGGGATGAAAGTGTTAGCACTTTGGGCTTATAAAGCAAGTAACCCTTGGCACCACTCCTCCTCCCGAGGGATGGACCAGGCATAATGGGCTTTCCTGTAATGATGCCCAGTTAACAGCAAACCCAGCCTCGAACAAATTACTTACTCACACCGGGCTCCCGCCCTGCAGTCAAACTCTGGCACCTGGCGCTGCCCAGGCAGAGTTGGCAGGTGACTGAGTTCTTGGCCTGGGTGGGGAGATTTTTAAGCAGTAATGATTCCAGGGATGGGAAGTCAAGGACTTGGTAAGGTGAGCTCAGCTGGCTGAGGAGGAAGGATTCTAAGTTCTGAGTCCCACCCTGACCCAAGAGAAGAAGCAAAGCCAGGGCCATAAGGTGGCCTTCTCTGGGCTGCGGAAGAGAGACACTGGCAGAACAAGGCCTTGACAATTCAAGATTAGTTTGTTTTTATTATTGATTTTAGAGAGGGGGAGAGGGAGAGAAACATCAATGTGAGAGAGATACATTGATAGGTTGCCTTCTGAATACGCTCAGACCAGGATTTGAACCTGCAACCTAGGTATGTTCCCTGACCAGCAATGTGCCCAGACTGGGAACCCTTGAGATGATACTCCAACCAACTGCGCCACACCAGCCAGGGCAAGCTTAATGTAATGGTACAACTTTCTTTGGTACAGCACTTGGCTTGCCCACACATCACTCTCTCCTCACATCACTGATCCTAAAAACAGTCCAAGGCGCCGTGCAGCACAGTATCAGTCATCCTGTGTACAGATGGGAAAAATGAAGGTACAGGAGGCTAAGAGGCTGGTCAATGGTTACATAGGGAGAGAAGGGGTGAGGCCAGAAATAGAACCCCCACCTTCTGACTTCTGGTCTTCCCTAAATGGTCACACCCATCCATTTTAGCAGCAATAATTCCAGGAATGGAAAGTCAAGGACTTGGTAAGGTGAGCTCAGTTGACTGGAGAGGAAGGATTTCGAGTTCTGAGTCCCACCCTGACCCAAGAGAAGAAGCAAAGCCAGGGCCATAAGGTGGTCTTCTCTCTTCAACTCGGACCTTCTGAGAGAAGAGCTCCTGAGGCCAGACAAGCAAGGGGCAAGCAGAGAACCCCAGAATCAGAATCAGGGGGCCGGCGAGACCATCTCACCCAGCAGTTTCAACCCTGAGTACACACTAACGTTACCTGGAGAACTTAAAATACGGTGAGTAAAAATACATACCCAGGCCCAGGCATCCGTAGTGTTTTTAAAACTCTCTACTTGACTCTGATGCAACATTGAATGAGAGCCCCAATCACCCCCATCTCAATCCCACGTTCACCCTGCTGCCTCCCCGAAGTTCCCACCCACATGTCTATGCTCATCCTCTGGCCCCCAGACAGACTGCTCCTCCCTCTTCCACACGATGTCATGTCCGAAACCTGGATCGGGAGCTGGGCTCACCCAGTTTGCTAGATGGGCAGGTCCCTTAGTAGCGCTGAGGCTCCCACCAGAATGTGACTGGCTTAAGGTCCCCCAGTGAGTCAGGGACAGTGCAAGACTGGAATCTGGGTCTCTTGACCACTAGGCCAGGTCAGGTCTGCAGAGGGGCCATAGGTGACAGATCTGCCACTTCCTGTGGGTAGAACAGACTCAGGGAGCCGAAACCGGTTTGGCTCAGTGGATAGAGCATCAGCCTGCGGATTGAAAGGTCCCGGGTTCGATTCCGGTCAAGGGCATGTACCTTGGTTGTGGGCACATTCCCAGTCGGGGGCGTGCAAGAGGCAGCTGATCGATGTTTCTCTCTCATCGATGTTTCTAACTCTCTACCCCTCTCCTTTCCTCTCTGTGAAAAATCAATAAAATATGTATTTTAAAAAAGAACAGACCCAGGGAGAGGCCGAGGGGGAGACAGGAGTGTGCATGAGTTGGGGGGGTCAGTGACTTCCTCTGCCCTTTCTGGGAAAGTCTGCCCTGTGGCACGCTGGGGGCGAGGGCCTAGCCTACACTGGCTGGCCTGGAACCGGACTGTGGACAGATGTCTTCGTTTCTAAGTGGGGAACAGCCTAGTCTGAAATCCCCATAAGGAAGCCCAGGCTCTCGGGGACATTTTACCAAGAGGACCCAGTTTCCTTGCCCACAATTAACAAAAGGGCTTGTACTTCTTGAGCTCTTCCCTGGTCCCTGTGCTAAGCATGTAATCGGCCTACTTCATGTAAGCTCCACAACCATCCTCAACGTTGGCTATCATTAGTCTCCATTTGCAAGTGCCTTAACTTGTGGAAGGAACTTCCCCAAGATCCCTCAGCGAGAAAGTGGTATCAGCAGGATTCGAAGTCTGGTTCATGTCCAAAGACTACCATCCTGCCCCCACCCAGACAGAAGAGGAGGTAAAGCTCGGTGGGCGTGGACATAGTTACTAAGCACCTAAGAGTGGCCGGGGCGCTCCCAGCCATCCGCGGGCAAGGCACGCACATCCTCCCGGTGCATCCTCCTTCCGCTCAGAGGAAACCAAGAGCAGCTGGGAAGCATCTTGCTTCGGGGCATCAGCCAGTCAACAGTGGGAACCCGGCCCGGAGTCCAGGGCCACAGAGCCTCCTCCACAGGCTGATGGGGAGGGAAACCCAGTCACACCCGGCAGGCGGGGTGGGGGTGGTGGAGGCTGACGAGGGGAGCCCAGGGGCCTACCCGCCCAGCGGATGGGAAGAAACACGGAGGACCAAACGGCGGCCAAGTGCACACAGGTGAGCTAGGTGGTGCTCCAACTTAGCTCTACCGATCCCGACCGGGAAGCTGGAACGCAGGCTGAGCCAGAATCCCCCAGATTCCAAGAAGAGTGGGGACGGGGAGCAGCCAAGCCTGGCCGCAGCCCCGGGCTGGGCGTGGGGGCGGTGGAGGGAGGGTGCCCCCCCTCCATCCCCGGGGCTTTCCCGGGGTCACTCACCCAGAACACCGTGGAGTAGATGACGAGCGAGAACTTGAGCCAGAGGTAGGAGAGGCGCGCGCAGTAGCGCACCTGCTCCGAGTCCCCGCGGGGCATCCTGGGCGCGCGGGGCGCGGGGCGCGGGGCTCCCGCCGGGTCCCTGGCAGCGAGCGGCCCCACCTGCGGCTGCGGCCGGCGGCCCGCCCCGCCCCGCCCCCGGCAATCGCTCCAGGACTGACACCCGCGAGCCGCAATCACAGCCCGGCCCGGGCCCGGCCGGCCCCGGCGGCCAATGGGCTCCGGGCGCTGGCCCGGCCTCCGGGAGGGGGCGGGAGGAGGGCGGGGCTGCAGCCGGAGCCCCAGCCCGGGAGCAGGGAGGGACGGGAGGGGGCGAGGTGTTTGCAGAGGAGGTCGCGGGCCAGTCTGGAAACGTAGCCTGTAGCCCTGGGGCGTGAGAGAATGTGTCCAGCGGAGCTGCAGACAGAGCGCGAACGTGCCTGACCAGGGGCACATAGGGAAATGCACTCTTGCCTCAATGGTCAAGAGAGGAAAGACCATGGGAATACGGGCAGGACCTAACCGCTCAAGTGCTAAAATGTGCAAGATGTGAGATGTAATAAGGAAGTGGAGTTGCTCAGCCTGAGGAGGGAGGAGAGATCAGTCTAGCAGACTAGGGTGCTGGGGCTAAAGGGCTCCCCCACCCCCCTATGGAGCCGGGATCCTGAGTTTCCTTTTCTAACAGACCCCTTTCCCCATCCCGTCTCTGGGAATCCCCTTCTCGGTGGCCAGGTGAGATCCCAACCCTGCTCTCCCGGAAGCCCTCCTCCACACCCATCCTCAGCGGCCCCCTTCCTTGCACACTCAGCCCAGCCTCTGCCCACCAGGCCTTCCTCCGCCTGGAGCCAGACGTGACTGAGAGACTCTCCCTCAGCTCGACGGCCCCAGCTTGGCTCGCTGTTGTTTCCTTGCTTCCCAGGCCCAGTCAGCCTGGGAGCCCATCTGTCTTTGTTGCTTTTGTAATTAGATGGGTGGCCCAGAGGTCACACAAGGCAGTGCCGGACGGGTCCCTGGTGGTGACTGCAGGAATGGCACCCTTGTCCTGGTCCCTTGGTGTGGACTCCCAAGCCTCCTGCACACACAGACTCCCAGAGGGAGACTGGCACTGGGGCCAGGTCCATCCCCAGGACTCTGCTCCCCGGAAGGAAGAAAGTAAGGCTGGGGGTGGGAAGGGAGCCCTCCCCAGCCCTGAAGGGTTAAAGGGAACTCAGGTTTCTTGGTGCAAAGGAGCCAGCTCTGTGAGGGCCCTTTGGGCAGAGACAGGGAAGGAACTGGGGACTGCTGCAGGGTTACCCTCGGTGGATAACCAAGGCCCAGGAAAGCCTCTGACCGCAGTGTTCAGGGTTGTCTTTTGCTGGCGGTGGTCATAACGGGTCCAGGTGTTAGACCAGACCTGGGTGCAGCAACCTCAGTTCTGGCTAGGAAAGAATTCAGAGCCAAGACCCAAACTATCAGAGAACATTTAGAAAATCACAGAAGTGGAAGTAATTTGTAGAAGTGAGCTGAGGAAACGTAACCAAGACAAAGAAAGGGCACTTGGAGCTTAGAAGTGAGGACGGTAAAGGTGCTGTGCCTGGGGAGAGGGAAAGGGGATGGCAGAGCCTGCTCTGGGGAGGAAACGCACTGGCCCTCCCTTCTCAGGGTTTTGAGGGTGGAAATTTTAGGGGCGGCCCCAGGGGGAATATCTTAATAGAATACCCAGCAGCTTCTCAGGAGTGTCTTTTCAAGGTCTAGGTCTCCCCTGAGTGATTGGCCGGAGCCCGGGCAAGGGGCATTATCCAATGCAGCTGGTCCTGGGATCAGCTGTGGCTTCGCTTGTCTGGTTTTGCAGCTTTTCTGGGTCTGGAGCTAAAATACAACTGAGGCCTTGATGCCACCTCTAGGAAGGAAAAACCAGTGGCACGCTAAAGGGGAAGTGTCACCCTGGGGACACGGCCCTGCCCTGTCTGTGTCCTTTGCTAGGCACCCAAGGCTTTCCCGCCCTGGTGACCTGTCTCACAGTCCTCGCCCTGCTCCTGTGTCTAACTGCCCACCACACTTTCTGTCTTTTGAGGAGGAGGAGGAAATTAACTCCTATCCTTCTTTGCTAATTGATAAGCCGTGAATATTACTGATACATTTATTATGGCATTTCCTAGGCTAGTAGCTTCCTTCAGCCAGCCCTGCAGGGGCAGTCTTACACCCACTCTTTGAGGCTTTGGTCTCTACCCCCTGGAGTGCTAGTTCAGCACCTTGTCCCCTGAGGGATTAGTCTGCCTCCCTCTCCCTGGGGATTAGCCTCCTAACAACCCCCCCACACACACACATACACACACACACACACATATACACACACACACACACACACATGCACACACACACGTACACACATACACGCACACATACACACATACACACACATACACACATATACACACACACACACATACACTCACACACATACACACACACACACACACACACACACACCTGAGCCCTGGAAGATGCCCTGGAAGACGAAGCTGCCTGAAGCTGAAAGGCCTGCAGAGGGAGCCTGGAGCTCTGTGGGGCTGGCCCAGCCTTCCCTGGGCTCCCGAGCTACTTGGCCGTCCCTCCCCACCCCCAACCTGAACCCCAAGTGCTGAGGGCTGCCCCGCAGCCATATTTGCAAACAAACACTGAGACCTCAGAAGTGACAACCTATCTTCAACGTTTTCCTCCCTTTGCCAGGAGCTCTGGGCTGGCCGTCCGTGGGTCTGCTGCCGATCCTGGTTTTGCCATTAACTTTTTGTGAGAGTGTTAGGACACATGGCATAGATGGTGTGACAAACAGGTGTGAGTGTGACCATGCCTGCAGATTAGGGTCGCCTGGTGAGCTTTAAATGTGTCTTGATCTCCAGACCCCATCCCAGTCAACCCAGAATCTCCACCTACCCGTGCCAGGGAATCCGTGTTCTTTTAAAGGTCCCGGGTGCACTTTCTAAAGTGCAGCCAGGACTGGGCATCACTGGTGAAGAGGTAGTCATGAGGGTGAGGTGGTCAGCCAGCATTTTATCAGAAGGTCACACACCAGAGGTCACGGCCTATCCAGCCATACACTAATAAATGTTTAATAACTGTCACTCCGTGGGGGAGGACCCTGCTACCAATTTCCATGGTGTAAATACTTCCGCTACATCTGATTTCACATTCCCAACCTGGGAGCTAAATTAACCTGGGAGTTAAAGAAGCCTACAGGGTCACACACAATCAGTTCAGCCGTCTCTACAGCTCTCCGTGTCTACATCCACCCTCTCCCCACCCCCAACCTTTACCGATTAGCACAGAGAATGCCACAATGAGTGTATCAGTAATATTCATGGATTATTAATTGGCATAGCAGGTACTAGAAATGAGCTCTCCTTTGGTGAAATGAGTAGTAGTCAAGCTGTGTGGATTGGCTAAAATGGTTTGGGGTCACCACTAATTCCTTGTTCAGAGTAAAAGAATCTCAGCCCTCACAGGTGTGGCTCACTTGGTTGAGCTGCATCCCATACACCAAAAGGTCACCCATTTGATTCCGGGTCAGGGCACGTGCCCTGGTTGTGGGCTCCTCTCCAATAAGGGGCCTGCAGGAGGCACCGGCTAATGTTTCTCCCTCTAGCTAAAAAGTCAACAAAAACATTTTTAAAAGAAAAAATCATTTAGGGATGATGCACCGGGTTGAACCCTTGAGGGATCCAGGTCCCACAGCATGCTGGTTGCCTGATGTGACCATCAGTCTAACTGACCCTGCCTCTACACTGCTGTGTCTTCCTTGAGTGGCCCTTCGACCCAGAGCTGGGCCTTCCCTGACTTTCCAGAACAGATTACATGAACCAGTTTTGTGGCTCCTTGCTAATAAATGCTTGTTTCATCAATATTTGTGTGGGCGACAGAATGTGTTCTGAGCTCTGCTTCCATGATAACTTGGCAGGCAGCTGGCAGGGTGAAACCACTGGCCCTCACGTGGAGTAGCTACTGTGCCTGGAAAAGAACTTCAGAATTGGGTCTGACCAACTCGGCTTGCATGATTGCATTCGTGCCGCTGGACAAATGACTGTCTGTGCCTCTGTTTCCCCGTGTGCGAGACCCTGAGGTTGCACTGTTTCTCTTCCGGCTCTAAAAGTCTCAGCTACAGTCCTCATAGTCAAGTCAGCCAACAAAGGACACTGAGCAATGCCTGTGTCCGGCCCTGCTCCAGGCTCTGGGCACACGGCCGTAAACAAGACAGACAAGAGCTTCTGTTCTCCTCTGTCCGGGAATGTAGGCTGTGGGGACATGCAACATGTGCAAAGCAAACACATGCCCTAGCCAGTGTGGCTCAGTTGGATGGACTGTCATCCTGTGCACCGGAAGGTCCTGGGTTCTATTTCCAGTCGGCATACATCTGGGTTATGGGTTCAATTCCCAGTGGGGGCATGTATGAGAGGCAACTGGTTGATGTATCTTTTTCATCTCTCTCTCTCCTTCCCTCCCTCTCTAAAATCAACTTTTAAGACACACATGAAAAGGGTAGTTGCAGGCACTGACATGTGCTAAGGATCCGGGAGAAGAGCTTCCAAGTGAAAGAAGCAGCAGTGCAAAGGCCATGAGAGAGGACAAAACTTGGCGAGGTCCCAGGGGCTCACACAAGGGGTGGAGGGAGAGCAGAAGGGGGTGGGGTCAGAGACAGGGCAGAAGCCTCCTAGCTTGGATAAACGGTGTAGATGGGTGTGTTTCCAGTTTCCAGGAGAATCACTGGGAGGTTTTAAGCAGGGACCTGAAACAGAATCTGATTTATGCTTCAGGAGGCTGCTGCATGGAGGATGGCCAAGAGGGGGCAGGGGCTGGGGCTGGTGCTGGGGCTGGGGCTGGAGCTGGGAGGGGAGAAAAGCCGGCGGCATCCCAGAGCTGACAGCTGTGGCTTGGACTAGGGACAGAGCACTGGACATGGTGACAAGGGCTATGGCTTGGAGATAGAGCCAGCAGGGCTTGCTGACAGGGTGGGTGTGGTTTTTGCCTTGAGCAACTAGCGAGATGCCCTTTACAAATTCGAGGAAGATCAGAAAGAGAGTGCATGG